TCATTTCTTCAGTGTTGTCTAAGTAATATCAATCAAACTGCAGTTGGGTTGTTCTAATTAAGTAATAATAACTTAAACAAATACAGGTAATTTACAAAATTAAAGTTCATTTAAAGTATGTTTTTTTTACATATTAAAAGTTCGTTGTGGAGAATAATGCACGGCAATCATTTTTTTCGAAAGTGGCGTTTATCGGTTTTTGCAACTGAACTCTTCATATAATAGCTAAGCTCCAGAAGAGACTTCTGCTTGTGAATTTAAATCAGTATTGTTATTATATAACTAAAACTATTAAACATTGTTTTCGTTAATTTAAATAAAGCTGTATTAAAGTAAAGCCTTGGCAACATGTGAAGAACTAAAATTACTAAAACTGAAATAAAAATAAATTAAAGATAAAAAAAAAGTGATAAAATGACTAAAACTAAAAATTTAAATGAACCCTGAAAATATAAAAATAAAAGCTAATTCAATAAATACTATAATAGTGTATAATTATTACTAAAATAGCAGTGTTTGAAATGGACTCTGCGGTATTGAAACGGGATCTTACCAGCCGTCTGCATGGATTTGAAGCAGGACTTCTGGTCGATGCGAGGCCAGAGGATGAAACGCGCTCCTGGCCTCCTGTGTCTCAGTGTGAGGAAACACAGCGTCAGACTCATTCCTGTGGCCATCGGGACCACGAAGCACGAGGACACGCTCCTAACACCTGTGAAAACACACGCAGACGTGCACGAATCAGGGTTATTATCGCTAACTGGAAATAATACTAAAACCATAAATAAAGTAAATGTTAAGAAAAAATGTCAATGCAAAAACATTCTTAAAAATACTTACACAATAATAAAAATAATTAAAACTATTAAAATTATTACATCATTATTTTAACATTAAATAATTATTAAAAATAACACACTAAATAAACTAAAATAAATAAAAATGAATAAACACTAAAAACACCACAAAATAACTAAAACTTTAAAATTAAAATGAAAACAGAAAATAGAAAAATAAAATAAAATAAAATTATTAATAAAAACTAGGGATGCCGATATACGATATGCCGATAATTTTCAACTCATTTTGGCCAATAGCCGATATAATTATTTTAAATTTTGGTTAGTTTTTAACAAGAACTTATTTGTTAGAATTAAATAAACAATAATAAAGTTATTTTATAATGACAGTACATTGAATATTTGAAAATAACTATAAATAAACTATATATTAATCACTGCATTTTTTTTTTTCCAGAAAGATGCAGTGGTGACCTTAACATTTTATTTTAAGATTTAACATTTGTTGATGGTCTAAAGCGAAAGAGTTGTAAAAATTCTGAAAATCTTTTAGAGCTCATAATTTGTTTAAAAAATATAACGTATTACATATTAATGAATAAATCAGTACATATAAAAATATTTAATTTAAGTGTCATGTTTGTGATTTTTTTTTCATGTAAGCTTCTGACCTTTAAATCAAAACATACTCATGATTTTATGGCATCAATTAATGCTTTAATTTAATCAGAAACACAGTCTAAATATTATTAGTGTATTTTGCTTTCATTTTATTAGAAGTAGGCCAACAGAGCCCCCTACGGAAATAAAACTCCTTACCGAATGGGCATTAGGACCCGGGGGAGGCTGCTGCTGCACGTGCCATTACTGTTTACTCTATCATACACCGAACGCATTCTGTACGTGCTTCCTTAGTTTAAATGCAGCGATCCAAAACAGTGAATCTAATCACCATTCAGGCAAAACTTTGCTTCAAGAATGAGCCACACTGCTGACGTGATCTAATCGCTAGCACACCCTGAGCACGTGTGAGTTAATGTATTCCTCTTATCGGCAAGACATATCGGTATAATTTTTTCATATCCGATATCGGTCAGATAATATCGTGCATCCCTACTCTAGACCATTGAATTATTGAATTCATGCACACTATTGCATCAGTAATTAACTAGTCCATTGGTAATTGTTTTGTACATAACCCATAGACATATCGGTATAATTTTTCATATCGGGCCGATGCCGATATTTACATTTAAAGCCATTATCGGCCGATTCCGATATTGGTCCGATAATATCGTGCATCCCTAATAAAAACTATAATAACATATAAATGACACTAAAAAGATTCTAAAACAACACTGGCACAAATACAATGGATTGTAAGAGAAGAATTGCTTTGTGCTTGTTTGATAGTTCCCTCTGCCGAGCAAGTCGGTTCATAAAACATAACAGACAGTACCTGTAAATTTGAGCACATCCAGCACGACTGAATTAGTGATTTTATTCAGGAGGCTTGAACCGGCAGCTTTGGGCTGAACAGCAGCAATGTCCCCCGAGCGGCCGATGCCGTGGATCAGTCTGAGAGGAACAACACCACAGCCTTTTATTACAAGGCAGGTTAGTGTAGAAAATTCTGTTAATGTTTTCCCCCCAAAATAGTTTGTTAAATGTTGAGATGTAGAAAATCAACCTGTAATGTCTCCTGGCCACCAGGCCTGAGGCGACTCGGCCCTCTCGCTCGCCCACACCACAGTTCCCTAAGAAGTTATTACTGTCCATGACTGCCAGCTCGTTCAGAAAGAGCTCGACGGTGCTCTCACTCCATCCCTCCTCGGGACATTTGCCCTGCAAGAAGCCTGACAGTCAGAAGTGCATGTATATGTGGCCACCGCCATAAAGAAAAGAAAAAATGTTTTAAAAATTGCAGTTTAAACACGTGTGCGACTCGTTTTGGTTACAAAACTTTTGCACCATAACATATTACACATGGGAGTCATGTTAGATGACATTTTACCACCTGATCTTGTTACAAAAAGAACAAATGGTCTAATATTTTAAGAGATTTATTGACGCTCCTTTGGGAAAGTGTGCTTCATTTGTACTTAATGTAGTGTACTTCAAATCTTAAAAGAATCATTTTAAAACACTGTACTTACAGATAATATAATATTAATGGGTAACACTTTATTTTAAGGTGTCCTTGTTACACGTTACATGTACTTACTATTATAATAACAATTAATTATGCATAATTACATGCAAGTAACCCAAGCCGTGCTTGCACAGGTTCTGCGCGATCCTCTTCACTAATATCCTCTGCTTCTCAATCGGGCTCAAACTGATAAGCAATATAGACGACGTCATTGTTTACAATACAACCGGAGCACATGCCGCTATGTTGAGGGGCGGGACGTTTAGACTCGCGCTAGAGGCGGTTTAGCCAATCACAACACACTGGGCCAGCTAATCAGTCAGAGCCCATCGTGTATTTCTGAGGGAGGGGCTTCATAAAAGCAGGAAATAATCAGCGCGTTCAGAGGAGAAGGGACAGAGGTGTGGAATAAAGGTAAATTATGTGAAAAATAATGCGTTTTTTAACAAACGAAGCATTAACACATGTTAGACTGCACCCCATAAACACAATCAAGCCTAGAAAAAAACCAGTCAACCACCCCTTTAAAGAGAGTTTCTTAACACACTTAAGTGCATTTAAAAAGTCCACTTGTAGAAGGTGTCACATGAAAAGTTTTGGGAGTCATGTTAGATGACATTTTACCACCTGATCTTAACTTTTCTTGTTACAAAAAGGACAAATCGTTTAATATTTTGAGATTTATTGACGTTCCTTTGGGAAAGTGTGCTTAATTTGTACTGAATGTAGTGTACTTCAAATCTTAAAAGAATCATTCTAAAACACTGTACTTGCAGATAATATAATATAAATTAAATAAAAGGCCACTTAAGTGAGTTTAACACACTTAAAAAGTCCACTTGTAGAAACGTCACATTAAAAGTTTTACATTTTAAATGATTGTTTTAATAATCTTTTTGTCATGTTTTAAAGTACACTTAAGTTCGATGTGTTGACTAACATACTAAAGCATATGTAAAGCACTTGATTATAATTTTAACTGTGTTTTGTTTAATATTACATTAAAGTTAATACATTTTAAAGGTACTAAATTGCAACTTCATGTATTAAAGTCCTACTTAAGTGGGTGTAAAAAGCACTCTTACGTTCAACTAATTGCATTTAATATAAAAAGCTAAACAGAAATGAAACGTGCTGTTTTGAATGTCTTTGATTCACCTAATGAGTGCAGACATTAACAGAGCTTGATGGACACACAGTCAAAGTCTCACCTGCTGTAAAAGCACTCGGACGAGCTGCTCGTGTCCTCGGCGAGCCTGCAGGCCCTGCCGCACATAAGAGGACGAGACCAGCTTCTCGCTCAGGCTGAAGTTCTGGATGTTCATGTCGCTGCAGGCGTTTTCAGCGGCGAGCTGCTGATGATGCGTCTGTCTGTCTGTGTGTCTAAACAGCGGCTTCACTGATTGCGTGACTCTCACGCTATGGATAAGCAGATGCGAGGTTAAACATTTTCTTGTAGGCTATCTCTGAGTCAGCATGAGTTTCAAATCGATCAACTTCTACATGTACTGTTTACTTCCGGATCGAAACTCCTCCTCTTGATGACGCTTCTATTTCAAAGTAAAAGTCCCTGGTGCAGCCGTGCACCGTTGCTATACAGTCACGTTAAACAACAACAACAACAACTAGATCAAAAAGTATTTTAAAAGTTGGCTTCAGAAAGCCTAGCCAGAAAGTTTGAAGTAGTTTTAAAAGCTTGAAGTTTGAAGGTTTTCAGTTTGAAACAGTACTAAAAAGTTTTAATTTAGTAGTTTTAAAAGCCAGATAGATAGATAGATAGATAGATAGAGAAACATCAGACAGATTTAGCAAAAAAACTAAACAAGCTAAAACCAGCTGACTTAGTTAAAAAAGCTAAAAAAAAAAAAAAAAACTGCTAAAGCCAGTTGATTTGGCAAAAAACAATTGAAAACCAGCTAAAATCAGCTGATTTAGCAAAAAAAAAAAATTTTTTAAACCAGCTGATGTAGTTAATAAAAACAGCTAAAACCAGTTGATTTGGCAAAAAACAATTGAAATCCAGCTAAAACCAGCCGATTTAGTTATTAAAAACAGCTAAAACCAGTTGATTTGGCAAAAAACAATTGAAATCCAGCTAAAACCAGCCGATTTAGTTATTAAAAACAGCTAAAACCAGTTGATTTGGCAAAAAACAATTGAAATCCAGCTAAAACCAGCCGATTTAGTTAATAAAAACAGCTAAAACCAGTTGATTTGGCAAAAAACAATTGAAATCCAGCTAAAACCAGCCGATTTAGTTAATAAAAACAGCTAAAACCAGTTGATTTGGCAAAAAACAATTGAAATCCAGCTAAAACCAGCCGATTTAGTTAATAAAAACAGCTAAAACCAGTTGATTTGGCAAAAAACAATTGAAATCCAGCTAAAACCAGCCGATTTAGTTAATAAAAACAGCTAAAACCAGTTGATTTGGCAAAAAACAATTGAAATCCAGCTAAAACCAGCCGATTTAGTTAATAAAAACAGCTAAAACCAGTTGATTTGGCAAAAAACAATTGAAATCCAGCTAAAACCAGCCGATTTAGTTAATAAAAACAGCTAAAACCAGTTGATTTGGCAAAAAACAATTGAAATCCAGCTAAAACCAGCCGATTTAGTTATTAAAAACAGCTAAAACCAGTTGATTTGGCAAAAAACTATTGAAATCCAGCTAAAACCAGCCGATTTAGTTATTAAAAACAGCTAAAACCAGTTGATTTAGCAAAAAACTATTATTATTATTATCAAAATCTGCAGATTCATCTACATCATCTTACATCTTTGATGGCCTGATGGTGAGGACATTTTCAGCAAACTTTCATTTTTGGATGAACTATTCCTTTGATAGCCATTTTCGATAAATTAGAAGTAATTGGAAAAGATTAGTAATTAGTAGTAAAGATAGTAATTCCCAAACCAAATCAAAACTACATTTCACAACGGAACGTCAATAGGTCTCTTAAAATATTAGATAATTTGACAAGTCCGGTTGTAAAATGTCATGTGATCTTGATGAATATCATGAATTAATATTCATGTAAATATCATAAACATTACCTGCTACTATGAAACAGAGATGTAACATGTTGCACATAAAGAAACAGATGAAATGAACATTTTCAAAAAATCACTAAAGAGCCTTGAAATGTTTCCTAAAGATTGTTGACTTTAGGATTTCACAAAGTATATGATTAAAGTAAGTAAAAAAAAAAAACAGTAATGTATTTCAGTTCCACATTATAAAACAATAGCCTGATTTTAACTAAAAGGACTAATTTGCACGGGAATGAACTAAAACCCTTTAAGCGTGTTTCCAAAAAACCTCCACAATGACTCTTAAAAAGATGGACAGATGAACAGTCTTATAATGAATCTTTTTCATTGACATATTTTAAATATGAATTTGCCCTGAAGCAGTGTTCAGGTTTTCCCTGCTTTCAAGCTTTAAGTATTTTAACACACAGTTTACACAATACAAGAGAGCGAATGCATCTGAAAACGAGTACAGCAACATCTCGCACTTTGCTCAAATGTAGTTCGTTACCGATTCCAAATTACAAGACAAAAATTGTAGTTAGTAACGTAATCCATTACATTACACATTTTAGGTTAATATAATCAGACTACTTTTTGATTACTTTTAGAACTCATTTATCACATTGATTTAAATAGGATAATCTAGAAAATTGCAAAGAAAAAGAAAATATGTTCCATTCCAGTGCATTAAACATTGCATTACATCAATATTTCCCAAACTGAGGTTTGTGAATGAACTGCAGGGGGTTTGTGAGTTTCATGAAAAGCTAATAATGAATTAAATCATAAAAATGTTATCAAAATTAATGTTAATTGTTAATGTTAATGTTATAAAATCATTTTAAAATAACATCAGTCAAAATAAAACACTTACTAAAAAAAATTTAATATTTAATTTGTTTAACTGCATGTCATGTGACCATTAACTAATGCCAGAAAACCGTGAACATGCAAATGTGTTACTTAATTATTAACTCATTGCCTTAAAATCTCAGGGGTGCAAATACATTGTGCGAAAATGTTTGTGAATCCCTGCATTACATGTAAATAAGAAATAGTGTGAATTTGTGCATTTTAATGTGTTTGAAAGACAGAAGCCTTCCAAAGACATAATAATGCATGGTTAAATAAAAACGGAGTGATAATGTGTTCATCAGTAGTTGATGCAATGTTGAAATGCTGAGAAAACACTTCTTAAAATTGAAATGTTTTTTTGTAAATCCAGTGCTCAAATGCTGTGGCCTCTTAATTTTGTGTGTAATTATATCCACTTGACTAATGACTGGCCTTTGAGTGAATGTCCACAAAAAGACTTTCTGAGTGTATAATAGCGGTAAGCTATTTTAAAATTTAAAAAATTTTTTTTTTTTAAAAGGAACATTTAAAAGATGAAAACAAGGAATTATATATTCATAATTTATTGCCATTGTGTGAATAATATGTACTCAATAAAAAAAATAACCTTTTTACTGATTACGAGCATTTTAAAATGTAATTTAATCTAATTACAAGTGCTTAATTTTTGGAATCTGATTACGTAATCCAGATTACATGCAATCAGTAACTACCCAGCTGAGTACAGATGCATAAGAAATAAAGACTGGAATGAAACAAGCACAGGCTTTTTCAAGTGATTAGACGCAATGTGTGAAAACATAGGCACTTTCATATTTTCATCTGATATCCGACAGCTGTTAAAGGGATTTATCTGATGCAACATCTGTTTTAAACTACATGTTCGTCAGTATTTCAGTCTGAAGTTAATGCATAACCATTACGTGACTCTTCTGAAAGAAAATGATTCAGCAATGAAACGGAATCATTGGTACATCTTAAAAAATAAAAAAATCAACGTTTATGCAATTTTAACTAACAAAAAAAAACAACAACGCAGTGCACACGAGCGGATAACCTGTTAAGAACTTGTGTCGAAGTGTAGTTTAAGTACAGTGATTAATAAGATGAATAACAGAGAAGAATAAACGTGTAATGCTTTCTAAGCCACTGATTGGGAGAATTTAATATTGTAGCACGTAACGTTATGCGTCATATTTCAAACATAACCATAACCAAGCAACACATTAGTTGGTTCTTAAAAGAGACACAAAAACACTGATGGGACAAAACAAGTATCCAGATGGTGGATGCGTTTCGAGGGGAACATCCTGAAGACGGTGTCAGTTTTGGGACATCTTGCGGATCATGTAGTTGAGGATGCCGCCGTGATGGAAGTACGTGAGCTCCACGTCCGTGTCGAACCTCATCTTGGCCTGAAACGTCTTCCCTGTGTCCAGCTGCAGAGAGGAATGAAACACAACACATTTCATCAAATGGAACACGCAGAAGAAAGTATTTAAGCTAGTGTTATTTCAGTATTATTTCTATAGCATAGGAAATTGAAACCTTCATTTCTGTTGAAAATTGTATGTCATGTATTTAAATAGATTTGTAATTACACATTTGTAAGTTATATTACCTTTAAATGTAATATAAATAATAAAAATATTTAAGTCAGTGTTATTTCAGTATTATTTATATTTTTTTTTTTTTTTTTTTTTTTTTTTTAGATTAAGTCTTAGTCATTTTCTTTTTTTTAATAATTCCCTATAGTTTTAATTTATTTTTATTTCAATTTTAGTAACTTTAGTACTTTATCTATTTTTTGTTGTCAAGGCAACATTTCTAATTTTCATTTGTTTTTAAACTGAAATTTTCATCTAATATTTCGATTTTATTTAAATAAAGAAAACTATTTTTTAGATAGTTATTTAAGAGAGATTATTTAATTTAAGAAAGTGTTTTTTATCAGGCCTGAATCTCAGGAAAATGTAAAGTAAAATAAAATAAAATCCCACATGTCCCATTGATTGCAAAGATTATAACATCTGCTGTTATACATGTTCTATATTCTATTTTTTATTATGTGTGTTTGCCCATAATTCACAGTTGGTTTTGTTTGTTGTTGCAATGTGAGATGAGGAGCTAAGAAAAAAACATTTACATTTACATGCATGTAATATATATATATATATATATATGATAGACAAAGACACTTGAACCTCGTTGCTACAAAATGTTATTTTATTTAATTATTTTTTTAATGTCAGTAAGTTGCCAATGCAACATTTCTAAATTTCTCATTTTAAGTTTTTAAGCAGAGGTTTTCATCTAATATTTATATTTGATTTCAGATTTATTTTAATAAATAAAAAAATTAAATTTTTTTTTTTACATAGTTTTAATTTTAGCTAAAAATATAAATTATTTAAGAAATTGGGTCTTTATCAGGCCTGGGTCTCAGGGAAAAGCAAAGTAAAATAAAATAATAAAATAAAAAATAAATTCAATTCGGTTAATAAAATAAAATAAAATACCACATGTCCCATTGATCGCACAGAAGATAACATCTACTGTTATACATGTTACATATTCTATTTTTTATTATGAGTGTACGTCCGTAATTCACTGTTGGTTCAGAAAAAACATTTACTACATTATATAATCACATGAATGTAATATGCATGTGATAGATAAAGATCCTTGAACCTTGTTGCTACAAAATAAAGCAACACGCCCCGTGAAGCCGTGGTTTACAGTGAATTTATAACAGCTAAGGGGCGTTGTAGTCTCACTAAGGCTAATTTACATTTATGCATTTAGCAGATGCTTTTATTCAAAGCGGCGTACAAAAGAGGAACAAAGCTATTAGTCAAAGAGCCAACGGGGTTATTAGACAACTAGACTATGAAGCAAACGGGAGAAATGCAGAGAAT